TCACTTGTTATACATTATATTTATCTTCAACATTTATTATATTATATCCTCCCGTACTTGCATCATTTACGTGTACAATGTTTTTTGTTTCAATTGTGAAGGTTATAAAATGATGTATAATATGCATGCTCTATTTTTTTTCCTTTTTTGTTGTTGATTCATCGATTTTGTAGATTACTCTTAAAGATCTGGCATACAAAGTCTCAAAAAAAAGATTTGGCATACAAAAACAAACAGTTAGAATTGAAGGATAGAAACTTGATTTTTTTCGTGTTGAATAGCTAATGTAATCGTGCTCTGTTATTTAACAACATAATGAAGCACTTCCTTGTTAAGTTATCTTTAAAATGAGTGTGGTTTTTTTGTTTCTAATAAATAAAAAACAAGAATAGATGTTATAGTATCGTCTGAAATGTGGCTAATTTATTTCAGCATAACTATATTGTTTTTGGGATTGATGTGATACTTGCATGATTTACGTGTACAATAGAGTAAAATGTATAATTTTTTTTGAAAAAGATATGATCGCCCTAAAATATAGGCTATATATATTAATTTCTCACAACAAATTAATTCTAATTTTAAATATGTAATTTATTGTTTGTTGTGCATATTTTTTTAGGATATTTTTGTAATTCATATTTAATAAAGTGTATTTTTCAAAGAAAAAAAAAAGTATTTTTCAAATTTAAAAAGCCAAAAAGGTATTTTTTCAAATTTCCTCTTTGAAATATTATTTTTGAAGTAAGAAATTGAGTAATACATTGGAGTAAAATCCAACTCCATTTTGGAGTTACTCTATTTTGAAGTGAAAAATAAAGTGATACATTGGAGATGTTATAAGAGCTAAATGTTGACTACAAATTACGAAATGTATTAAACTGAAACACTAAACCAACCGAAACTAACTAGGAGAATCTAAAATACGGTCAAGATCCATACTACGTGATGCAATTAAGTGAACCAAAAATCAACCAAGTAAACTTCCGACACGGATTTTGAGTCACGGACACACACATGAAACTGTAAATCTTTTATTTTAAATTAAACGTAATTAAACTTTGATGTAACGTTAATCTTATGAATTTATTCATTTTGATTAAATTTGCCTACCAAATTGGATGGTGAAATGACGAGTCCCAATCTTTTCCGTGTTAACAAAAAGAGGAGGAAGAATAAAACATTATAGCCGGCCTATAAATATATATCCAAATATGGTCCAATTTATCCGACAAGATCTCAGATCGAACGGTGAGAGATCCTCCAAAGGTAAAGCTTCAACGGCTGATAAAATTTTCTACAAAAACATGGAGAAAAAGAACGTCTACTAAAGAATATATAATGGCTATGATTAAAAATAATTGGGAGTACGGTCAATGGCCCGAATGAGTAAAATGCAATGATATTGCTTTATGAATCATTATTTATTAGGTTTGCAGATAAATAAATGTGACCTACTTTTGAATAATATACAAAACTATATCCAAAACTTTTGGCAAAGAATCACATACGCATAATTTAGGCTGTAGTTAGTATGTTTGGTGCAATACAAGTTTGGTAAACGAGACAATATCATCATTCATAAAACTTTATTAAGTTTTTATGCCATTTAAAAACACTTATAAATTTTGTTTGTTGTTCTAATTAGTTTGCACGGCAAATTAATATACTCTCATTTGCAATTGCATCCATTTTTCCTTTCTTTCTGTAAAATAGATACATTAATATCAAAATTCCATTACGAATAATTGTTTCAATATCTACATCTTATTTATAATCAACGGGTTTGTTACAAATCTACAAAGATATATGGACTTTGGCTTCGAACTTCTAAGTTATTAAATAAAAAAAAATAAAAATTTCAAAAAATACTATTTTTTAAATGTCACTTTACAAAAATGCCACACTTTCGAAATCTTTACAAAAATGCCACTTTTTCACAATTTTTTTTTATATCATTTATGTTTGGGTTAATTATGTTCTATTAGGGTTTAGTTATGAGGGTTTAGGGGGTTTTAGGGGTCAAAATATTTTTTAGGGGTTTAGAATTTTAAGATATAGGCTTTATAAATCTATAATTAGTGGCATTTTTGCAAAGGGACACCCCTAAGTGGCATTCTTACAAATGTGCATACAAAAGATGGGATTTTTGTAATTGCCCCTATTAAAAAAGAAAACGCTAAATTAAAATTTATTATAAAATAAACACTTACTACATACTGTATATTAATTGATCTAAACACATTAACTACACATATTAAACAAACTAAACACACTAACTACACTCATTTTTCAAACATTATTATTTAAAAAATCTCAGGCTTCGAATATTATATTTTTGCCCTCAGGTGTAAATGACAACATTTGTTTTGGCCCAAATGAAAACTTATTTTAGGCCAAAATTAAGGACTTTGCGGCCCAATTATTAATCTATTTTTAAAAAGGAAAAAACTGTCACAATTCACACGTGCGAGTGTATCTAGTTCTCGCACCAGAGAGGATAAAATCTTGTCGGTTTCTCCTTTGACCCCTCCGTTTTTACCTCGTCTTCAAAGGTATTTTAATAATTTTGACCTCTTTTTTTTTTTTTGTTTACCTTCCAAAATATCTCAAACCCCAAAAACCTAACCTAAACAAAAGGCCAAAAAAGTTTCTGTTCGATTCTTTCATTCTCTGTTGCAATTCTCGTAATCGTAAATCGATTGATTGCGATTTTGTGTTTTCTTGATTCGATTGTTCTGGATGATTTCGAGAG